CGCAAACTCCAAATATACAGCAGCAGGCATCGTCATGGTCGGGATCGAACCCACGACCTCCTGTACACCAGGCGAGGTAGTCAACATCTCCTAGCCACCGTGATGATGAGAGAGAGAGACACGCAAACTACAAATATACAGCAGGCATCGTCATGGTCGGGATCGAACCCACGACCTCCTGTACACCAGGTGAGGTAGTTAACATCTCATAGCCACCGTGATGATGAGAGAGAGAGACACGCAAACTACAAATATACAGCAGGCGTCAGGGTCTAACCCACGATCTCCTCAATACCATGCGAGGTAGTTAACATCTCGGCCTCTGTCTAAACTCCCAGCCCACGCCAACGGTGGCGGTCTATATGCTTAGTTTTTTTCGGTAAAGTCACGTTGAAGAGAAACAACAAAATAATAAAATATATATAAACAATAAATTGGCCATGCCGCATTGGGAGAGGCTGGGAGTTACCCACGCTCTGCCCCACCGGCGCACGTGACCTGCCACATCGAATCGGTGTGGTTGGAGCTATTTCTCTGTGTGAGTCTATGGGTCTCCGTGTTAATCTATGGGTCTCTGTGTGAGTCTATGGGTCTCCGTGTTAATCTATGGGTCTCTATGTGAGTTTATGGGTCTCTGTGTGAATCTATGGGTCTCTGTGTGAGTCAAAGAGTCTCTGTGTGAGTCTATGGGTCTCTGTAAGTCTATGGGTCTCTGTGTGAGTCTAAGGGTCTCTCTGTGTGAGTCTATGGGTCTCTATGTGAATCTGTGGGTCTCTGTGTGAGTCTGTGGGTCTCTCTGTGAGTCTATGGGTCTCTACGTGACTAACACAGCGATCTATAAACAAACACTAAGACCCAAATACACGCACATAGAGACCCATATAGACTCACACAGATATAATTATTGATTCACTTACAGACCCATAGACTTCCAGAGAGAGACCCATTGCCCGAAACGTCGCCTGTTATATATTTATATTTTAACACCCCCCCCCCCCCCCCCCACACACACAAAGACATCTCCCATAGCCTGAACAGACTGTTGGGGCAAGTGCTGTTAGCGAGCAGCACCTATGAAGGCCGGCACGGCACACGAGGGGGTGGGTGGCCAACACGACACCCGGCCGCCTTTGTCTCCTCAGTGGCACCAAGGTACTAATTTGAGGCTGAGTCGACCTAGGGGAGGCCCGAGACCGTTTCAGATAATCGTCACCGGTGTTGGTGGCCGTGAGCGGGAATCGAACTCGGGTTACCAGATTCGTAGCGCAGCGCTAACCGCTGCACCACCGCTCCCCACTCATTAACACACAAAGACAAAGATCCCCCGTGTAGCCTTAACAGACTGTAGGGGCAAGTGCTGTTAGCGAGCACCTATGAAGGCCGGCACGGCACACAAGGGGGTGGGTAGCCAACGCCACGCCCGGCCGCCTTTGTCTCCCCGGTGGCGATGTTTACACATCGCACCAGGTACTCATTTGAGGCTGAGTCGACCTAGGGGAGGCCCAGGACCGGTTCAGATATTCGTCACCGGGTGTTGGCCGTGAGCGGGAATCGAACTCGGGGTTCGCAGCGCAGCGCTAACCGCTGCACCACCGCTCCCCTCCCCACACAGACACACAGACGCACGTGCCGAGAGAGAGACGTGTTGAGTGATTCTGTGACACGGGGCTCTGCTGTGCCGCTCATCCTCCCTCTCGGCTGGGCACGAAGGCGGCTGGCCCGGCCACGTTCCCGTGACGGGGATTTGATGAAGCCGAGCCGAGCCTCGGGATGTGTGCGTGGGGAAACGCGTGGGATGCAATAGCTCACCGCTATTGCCGCTGCTAAGTCGATTTTAAATGAGCTAAACGCAACAAAATCAAAAATAATCCGTCCCCAAAAAAAATGTGTTATATATGTGTGAGTTTGTCTGTGTGTGTGGGGGGAGCGGTAGGTGGGGGGGGAGCGGTAGTGTAGCGGTTAGCGCTACGCTGCGCTACGAACCTGGCGACACGGGTTCGATTCCCACTGACGGCCAATATCCAGTGACGATTAACTGAACCGGTCCCGGGCCTCCCCTAGGTCGACTCAGCCTCAAATTAGTACCTGGTGGCCACGGGGAGACAAAGGCGCTCGGGCGTGGTGTTGGCCACCCACCCCCTCGTGTGCCGTGCCGGCCTTCACAGGTGCTCGCTAATAGCACTTGCCCCAATAGTCTGTTAAGGCTATAGATTCAGTACTCACTAGATTCAGTACTCACTAGATTCAGTACTCACTAGATTCAGTACTCACTAGATTCAGTACTCACTAGATTCAGTACTCACTAGATTCAGTACGCACTAGATTCAGTACTCAGTAAATTCTGTACTCACTAGATTCTGTACTCACTAGATTCAGTACTCACTAGATTCTGCACTCACTAGATTCTGCACTCACTAGATTCTGTACTCACTAGATTCAGTACTCACTAGATTCTGTACTCACTAGATTCAGTACTCACTAGATTCTGTACTCACTAGATTCTGTACTCACTAGATTCTGTACTCACTAGATTCAGTACTCACTAGATTCAGTACTCACTAGATTCAGTACTCACTAGATTCTGTACTCACTAGATTCAGTACTCACTAGATTCTGTACTCACTAGATTCAGTACTCACTAGATTCAGTACTCACTAGATTCTGTACTCACTAGATTCTGTACTCACTAGATTCAGTACTCACTAGATTCAGTACTCACTGGATTCTGTACTCACTATATTCAGTACTCTGCTGCTGCTGCTGAGCAGTTGGAGGCAGTCGTCCTCCAGCAACAACAACAACAACGGAGGGCAGAGTTAGCGACGCTCACAACAACGTGCGGAGCGCCGTGGCGGATAAAACCCAGCAAGTTCTCACGGTGGGGGCATAGCTGGTGATGCATCTCACGGCCATCTCAGCCTGCCGGGGTCTGTCCCGTGACCTCCTCCTACTCCTGCCAGCAGCGAGCCTTCGACCACTCCCACGTGGCAGCCTCAAAGTGCACCTAGCCTGGCACGAGCGCCCGTGGTGACGTCGCCGTCACTTTGGTTGGTTGTGGTTATTGGTGGTGGAGCCATCTCGCCACCTCCTGGTCACACGCGGTGGCGAGATGCAGCAATGGCAGTCGCTGGCGGAAAGAAAGGTCCACTGGGAGGCGTGGTGGTGGTGTTTCAGTTTCAGTTTATTTATTTTGCTATAGCCCTGTGAGCCATTCGGCTCTTGAATCGGGTGCAACCACAACAAACAAAAACACGAACAAGAAAAACATCTTAAAGTGACTTTGTGTGACTGTGCAAACATAAAATCCATGAAAAACAGCAAAATATTCCTGAAAAAAGCACCGTACACCACCAACGCTGTGTGTAAAAAATCCCAGTGGGATGCAAGTCAAACAACAACAACAACAACAACCACAAGAAAACTTAGATTAAGGCCATCAGTCTAACTCCGTACTACAACAAAACAAACATGTCCAAACCAAAAAAACGTTTTCGAAATCACCAAAAAAATAAAGCCATAATTGCAACGTAACAGTGATCACGGGGACTGTGACCGAATTTATTACAATAAACTACATAAATAACATGTATCTGGGGGGGGCTTCTTCTTCTGAAGAAGGGCAATTGCCCGAAACGTCGGTTGTTACTATAATAACCGCAAAGCAAGTGGGTGACAACCACCGTTGGGTCGATCGGTGAGGTATCGTGCGGTGCGAAATAAGTTCAAACATGCATCCAGTAAACGTTGAACCGTTGGGCCAACGTTGAGTCAACGTTGGGCCAACGTTGGGCCAACGTTGGGCCAACGTTGCCATATTTCCTGGGCACATGGGAGGGGGCCTCGTGGCCGAAAGGTCACCGCCGGCGCGAGACGGAGTCGCGCGTTGCCCGGGGTGACGCTGGCAACTTTCGTTGCCTAGCAACCGGGGTAAACAACGGGGGCGAGGGGGGAGTGGCGGGGAGAGAGAGACAGTGGGGAGCGAGTGGAGAGAGACACAGGGAGAGAGATAGTGGGGAGAGAGATAGTGGGGAGAGAGTGGAGAGAGACACAGGGAGAGAGACAGTGGGGAGAGATTGGAGAGAGACACAGGGAGAGAGATAGTGGGGAGAGAGTGGAGAGAGACACAGGGAGAGAGAGACACGGGGAGAGACAGTGGGGAGAGAGTGGAGAGAGACACAGGGAGAGAGATAGTGGGGAGAGAGACATAGTGGGGAGAGATAGTGGGGAGAGTGGGGAGAGAGATAGTGGGGAGAGAGATAGTGGGGAGAGAGATACACGGGGAGAGACACGGGGAGAGAGAGACAGTGGGGAGAGAGTGGAGAGAGACACAGGGAGAGAGAGACACGGGGAGAGACAGTGGGGAGAGAGTGGAGAGAGACACAGGGAGAGAGATAGTGGGGAGAGAGATAGTGGGGAGAGAGATAGTGGGGAGAGAGATAGTGGGGAGAGAGATACACGGGGAGAGACACGGGGAGAGAGACACGGGGAGAGAGATAGTGGGGAGAGAGATACACGGGGAGAGAGGCAGTGGGGAGAGAGACAGTGGGGAGAGAGACACAGGGAGAGAGAGAGACACGGGGAGAGTGGGGAGAGAGATAGTGGGGAGAGATAGTGGGGAGAGAGATACACGGGGAGAGACACGGGGAGAGAGACACGGGGAGAGAGATAGTGGGGAGAGAGGTACACGGGGAGAGAGGCAGTGGGGAGAGAGACAGTGGGGAGAGAGACACAGGGAGAGAGAGACACGGGGAGAGTGGGGAGAGAGATAGTGGGGAGAGAGATACACGGGGAGAGACACGGGGAGAGAGACACGGGGAGAGAGATAGTGGGGAGAGAGATACACGGGGAGAGAGACAGTGGGGAGAGAGTGGAGAGAGACACAGGGAGAGAGATAGTGGGGAGAGAGATAGTGGGGAGAGAGATAGTGGGGAGAGATACACGAGGAGAGATACGGGGAGAGACACGGGGAGAGAGATAGTGGGGAGAGAGGGGAGAGATATACACGGGGAGAGAGAAACACGGGGAGAGATACACGGGGAGAGAGTGGAACGGGAAGAGATAATTGGAGTGATATGGCGCTCCCTCTGCTGCCTGGAAACGTATTCAACAGTAACGTGAGTACTGTACAACTACATGAGATACTGTAGTTATTTAAGGCTGAGTCGACCTAAGGGAGAGTCCGACTCGTCAGCCTTGAAAAATTAGTTGTGATTATCTGCGCCCGGTCCTGGGCCTATCCTAGATCGACTCAGCCTCAAATGAGTACCTGGTGCGGTGTGTAACAAACATCGCCACTGGGGATACAAAGGCGGCCGGGCGTGGTTGCTGACCACCCCACCCCCTCGTGTGCCACAGTGCCGGTAGCCTTCACAGGTGTTGCTCGCTACTCACAGCACTTGCCCCTACAGTCTGTCGGAGGCTACACGGGGGATCTTTGTCTTTGGGGAGCGGTGGCGCAGTGGTTAGCGCACTGAGAACCCGGCCACCCGAGTTCAATTCCGTCTCACGGCTTCGTGCGATGAATGTATTGTAAACATGTAAACATATTCTTGGTTCCTTCGGTAAAGTCACGGAGAAGGGAAACAATAAAATAATACAAATATAAAACAATAACATTGTTTTAAATCAATTTAAAAAAATTAAAACAATTAAATTGTTTTATATTTTTATTATTTTATTGTTTCCCTTCTACGTGGTGACTTTACCGAAAGAACCAAGAATATGAATCCCTGCAGTCACGAAAGCTTTAAATCAAAATTTAACATGTAAACACGTAACATGTAAACACGTATGTGTGTTGAACTTCTTTCGCACCGTACGTAGCCAACTAAACACACAACAGCATCAAGCCGTTGTAAAGAAATTGGTTTTCAATCGAGAAGACTTTAAAAGTGCATAGCTCCCTAGTGGCCTTCCTAATATAGGAATACTAATATCAGCACTGGGGAGACCTCGGAGTGCACCTAGCCTGGCACTTAGTGACCAACGGCGGTTGTTTATGTTGTTCTATGTACATAGACAGTCCTCGACTTACAAGCACCCGACTTACGAACACCCACACTTACGAGCACCCGACTTACGAACCCACACGTACAAACACCCACACTTACGAGCACCCGACTTACGAACAACCCACACTTACGAACATCCGACTTACGAACAACCCACACTTACAGATACCCGACTTACGAACATCCGCACTTACGAACACCCACACTCACGAACAACCCGCACTTACGAACCAGCTTCCACGAAATATATTTGTTTTAACATCGACTTAAAACGCGAGCTCTCACATGCAAATTGCACCGCGACATGAAACGAGTCAGCCTCGCGCTGGTAGTGAGTGTTTGTGCGTGCGTGCGGGCATTTAAATGCGGTGCCATTTGTGCGTTTCGACTCAGTTTAGTTTCAGTTTACAGTCAAACCTCGTCATTTCGGTATTTGATCATTCGTAATTGGGGATAATTCGGCACGGCTGTCCCCCTTACGGCACCATAAGCCGGTGTTTTGGTAATTCGCCGCGAGCCGAATTGCCGCCATGCCTAATGGTACAATTTCGGCGTAGGGCGTTGAGCGTTAGTGCAGACCTGTTGCTTTGGACGTTACCTTATGTATGCACTCACTGCGCTAAAGTGCAGTGAGTGCATACTCAGTGCATTAAGCCCCGCTCCACAACCTCTTGTCACCTACCACATGAAACCTACCGCATCCTCCTACTGGCTACTCATGGTGTTACTTTAAACAAACAAAAAAAATTGGAAAACAAATTAAGATTTCTAGGGGTTTTTTTTTGTTTGTTTGTTAGGGCAGGAGGCATTGGGCAGTACCATTGTACATAATTCTGAATATTGGTTAATTCGGCAAGGGTTTTAATGCATTTTCAAGTTCCGCCTGTGAGCTAAGAGGCTCTCTCTCTCTCGAGTCGGGCTTCGTCAAATTAAAACACCGCGCACACACCGTTTCCGTGACAGAACGTAGCACGTCGGAGAAAATGTTCATGGGAAAATACAAATTAATTCGCATTTTTTTTACTAAAAAAAAAGGTAAGAAATAATATAATTTCAAGTAGAATTGTTTTTCTTTTAAATGTCTTTGGCCAATTAAGGAATTTAAAAAAGGTGCAAGGTTTGGTGTAAAGCGCCGGCCATAAGGACCACCGTTTCCCCCCCCAAAAAAACCCCACTCAAATTAAAATCTCCAAATTAACAAAAAATTACGAACCGTTCGACTTACGAACAGGCTGCAGGAACTAAATTGTATTCGTAAGTCGAGTACCCATGACACACATGGGTACACACGCACATACACAGAGACAAAGATCACCCGTATAGCCTAAGGAGACTGTAGGGGCAAGTGCTGCTAGCGAACACCTATGAAGTCCGGGACGGTACACGAGGAGTGGGTGGCCAGCACCACGCCCGGCCGCCTTTGTCTCCCCAACAGCGATTTTTATCGTCACCGCGCCAGGTACTCATGTGAGGCTGAGTCGACCTAGGGGAGGCCCAGGACCGGTTCAGATAATCGCCGGGTTCATAGCGCAGCACCACCGCTCCCCACACAGACGCGCCCTGCACAGGTACGCACGTTGTACGTACGTTGAACTTCGTTCGCACCGTACGTCGCCGCCCGCGGCTAATGTCGAGGTCTCTGTCTCTCTCTGTCTCTCTCTCCATGCACGCGCAGCTGGGCCGCGACTCGTTCAGACGCCAGCAGAGTCTGGATGTCTGCAACGGAGTGATCGTGGTACGGCAAGGGGCATCGGCTGCCCTCCTCTCGTCTCCTGCCCGCAGCGCGCTGCCCCCTGCCCTGGGCATGCCCCGTACGACCCCCTCGTGGCTGGCCTACAGCAACCAGGTGTGTGTGGGTTCGATCCGGACGATGCCTGCTGCTGCTGCTGTATATTTGTAGTTTGCGTGTCTCTCTCTCTCTCATCATCATCACGGTGGCTAGGAGATGTTAACTACCTCGCCTGGTGTGCAGGAGGTCGTGGGTTAGATCCCGACCCTGGACGATGCCTGCTGCTGTATATTTGGAGTCTGCGTGTCTCTCTCTCTCTCATCATCATCATCACGGTGGCTAGATGTTGACTACCTCGCCTGGTGTGCAGGAGGTCGTGGGTTAGATCCCGACCCTGGCCGATGCCTGCTGCTGTATATTTGGAGTTTGCGTGTCTCTCTCTCTCATCATAATCACTGTAGCTAGGAGATGTTGACTACCTCGCCTGGTATACAGGAGGTCGTGGGTTCGATCCCCGGCCCTGACGCCTGCTGCTGTATATTTCGAGTTTGCGTGTCTCTCTCTCATCATCATCATCACGGTGGCTAGGAGATGTTAACTACCTCGCCTGGTATACAGGAGGTCGTGGGTTAGATCCCGACCCTGACAATGCCTGCTGCTGTATATTTGGAGTTTGCGTGTCTCTCTCTCATCATCATCATCACGGTGGCTAGGAGATGTTAACTACCTCGCCTGGTATACAGGAGGTCGTGGGTTAGATCCCGACCCTGGCAATGCCTGCTGCTGTATATTTGGAGTTTGCGTGTCTCTCTCTCATCATCATCATCACGGTGGCTAGGAGATGTTAACTTCCTCGCCTGGTATACAGGAGGTCGTGGGTTAGATCCCGACCCTGGCAATGCCTGCTGCTGTATATTTCGAGTTTGCGTGTCTCTCTGTTCTCCGGGTCCTCCGGTTTTCCCCTCCACATTTTTGAATAAACATCACGCGTTTCGATTACTGTATTTAGATCATGTTGCTGCAATAAATGTCCAAATGATAAGCCACTTTGTTGAGCTATCATTTAGGGGCCGTTCATAAATGACGTCACGCACCTGGGTGGGGTCAGACATTTGTGACGATGTGTGACGAGGGGGGGGGGTTTGAGAAATGTGACGTCACATCAAAATGCGCAACTTTAAATAAACATAGAATTGTTATTACAACACTCCTACAACGTCAGAGTGCAGCGCCACATTAAATACGCACTACAATGACAATAGTTTAAAGCGATTTGAAGCATGTTTTATTTTTTGGGGGGGGAGGGGCAGAGCTTTGTGACGTCATATTTGAGGGGGGGGGGGCTCTGACTTTTTGTGACCCTGTATGACGAGAGGGGGGGGGGGTCCAAAATCGTCCAAAACCGCGTGACGTCATTTATGGACGGCCCCTTATAGCCGGGTCGTTTCTGAAAAAAATAAGTTCATACCTCAGTGGGCTTTGCCTGGTAGGACGTGGATGGTTTCATTTAATTTGTTTGTGTTCCTGTGTTGTTTTTTGTACTGTGTGTTGTTGTTGTTGTAACGTTCTTACCCCGTGCCCCGACTGGACATCTGCGAAAAAAAAAATAACAACTCGACAGCTCATCAGATTCCTCCTCCGGTATGAATACAAGATTCTGATCCTGTGAGTAGTGGCGTAGTAACTGAACGGCTGAAACGCAGAGAGGTGGCACAGTAGCAGAGGGCACAGGTGCTGGTGCATCCGCCAGTCGCCCGAGTCAGTCAACCAACCCGTGGCACCACCATGCGGTGATCACCGGCTTTGTTCGATGGCTTAGCCAAAAGCCGCTGCCGCCGCCGTCACCGCCGCCGCCTGGTGATGGTTTATAGCTCCTTGACCGAAATCAGCAGCAAGGTTTTGTGGTTCATCTGTGGCAAGCACTTTGTGCGCGTGTGTGTGATGAGCGTGACCTTATCAACGTGTTTGTTCGGCAACCAGAAGCTGATGCAGCTTGGCGAGAGAGAGAGAGAGAGAGCGAGCGTGGACATGCCACAGGGTGAGAGAAATTGTGGAGATGCCAGGGGGTGAGAGAGAGAGAGAGATTGTGGAGATGCCACAGGGTGAGAGAAATTGTGGAGATGCCAGGGGGTGAGAGAGAGAGAGAGATTGTGGAGATGCCACGGGGCGAGAGAAATTGTGGAGATGCCAGGGGGTGAGAGAGAGAGAGAGATATTGTGGAGATGCCACGGGGCGAGAGAAATTGTGGAGATGCCAGGGGGTGAGAGAGAGAGAGATTGTGGAGATGCCACGGGGCGAGAGAAATTGTGGAGATGCCAGGGGGTGAGAGAGAGAGAGATTGTGGAGATGCCACGGGGCGAGAGAAATTGTGGAGATGCCAGGGGGTGAGAGAGAGAGAGATTGTGGAGATGCCACGGGGCGAGAGAAATTGTGGAGATGCCAGGGGGTGAGAGAGAGAGAGAGAGATTGTGGAGATGCCACGGGGCGAGAGAGCGAGCGAGATCGCGGCGATGCGACAGAGATAGCGAGCGAGCGAGAGCTTGGGGATGCCATCGACGGCATGGGAACCTTCCTCTCGCCTACCGCCCGCCCGTGATTCGCCCTCCAGGTTCTGAGCTTCGAGGGCTTCACGCGCGAGGAGGTGCCCCAGAGCCCCGTGGAGACGCGGCGTGTGCGCCACGTCCGGGTGCTCTTCTTCCTCGAGGACGACTCCATCCAGGTGCTCGAGCCGCAGGTGAAGAACGCGGGGATGCCGCAAGGTGAGAGGAGCCGCCGCTGCCGCCGCTCGTCATCGTCGTTTTCGTTGTCGTGATTGTCGCTCCTCCTCCGCGCCCCTCCGCTGCCTACCACATTTACACAAAGACGAAGATCCCCCACCCACCCACCCACGCCAGTAGAGACTATGCATTTTGTAGTTTTATCATTTTTTATAAATTTTATAGTTTTTATACATTTTATAGTTTTTATACATTTTATAGTTTATAGTCACTATAACAGTTATAGTTATTAATTACACTGTGTAACATATTTACTTAAAAAAAATTTGGTCCTGGGTAGTAAGTGTTATTTCCTAATTGCTTATGCCTCAAAAGTAACGAAAATGGTTATTATTCCCCACAAACTTTGCTTTTGTGACCAGGACATTTTGAAATGTACCAATTTTCCAGAACATTCCAGATAGATTCAGTGCTGAGTAAAGTTGGAGTAACTTCTAGAACATTCTAAAACTTTCTATTACGATAAATAGGAGTATAAATACAGGGGCCTTAAGCCGACCAGTTCAGTTTAGTTCCAGCAGCCTAAGTGGATACATATCTGCATTTTTCTGAGATGGCATCAAGAGGCTGCAAGCATCCGGCAGACGCATTTTGCTTTGTCTGCGGTCAATTTATCAAGACAAGAGCGAAAAATTCCTCTGTGGAAGCATCTGCTAAGATGTGTGAGGCCTACAAGGCATATTTCGGCATGCCTGTCGGGGATCAAGACAAACCCTGGGCACCTCATTTCACCTGCGAGCAATGCAGAAAAAAACTCTGTAAGGTAAGATGGACAACTGTTGCTCGGAATTTTATGTTTTAAAATTTGTTTTAAAAAAATGAAACTGTTAAAGTTTTTAATTTTAAAATGTTTTACAATTTTCAATGTTATTGAAAAAATATATCATATATGAAAAATGTTGCGAGAATCTCTTACACATTAGTCATGGGTGAAATACATTTATTCGTGTAGGATGGTTACAGAGGGGAAAAGAGGGCCATGAAGTTCGCTATCCCAAGAATTTGGCGGGAACCCACTGACCACTCAAGCAACTGCTACTTCTGCATGGTGGACCCTTCCAAACGTCGGACTGGCAAGAATGCATCTGCTATCACGTATCCGGACCTTCCTTCATCCATCGCCCCGGTGCCACACTGCCATGAGCTCCCCGTACCCACTCCTCCGTAGAGAGAGCAGCCGTCTTTAGAACAGAGCAGCAAGTCAGAGAGCCAGGAAGACGTTGTAGATCCAGGTGACAATTTCAGAGGTGGAGCTGAGGAGAGAAACCCATACTACGCCAACCAAAAAGACCTCAACGACTTGATCAGAGATCTTGGTCTCACCAAGTCCCAATGCCGAGCTTTTGAAGTCTAGGCTCAAGCAGTGGAACTTGTTGGATGAAAGTGTGCAAGTCGCAGATCAGAGGAAGCGTCACCCGTCAAGATGGGCTCTGCTTCTGCCACAATGTGACCAGTCCATTCGAGGCAATCGGAATTGCCTGTAACCAGAATGAGTGGCGCCTCTTCATTGACAGCTCATCCAGGAGCCTCAAAGCCGTGCTGCTGCTCCATAATGGTAACAAGTACCCGTCTCTTCCCCTGGCTCACTCGGTGCACCTCAAAGAGGATTACAACAGCATCAAGACCTTGCTGGACGCCTTGAAGTATGATTAGTACGGCTGGGAGGTCATCGGAGACTTCAAAATGGTGGCATTCCTGATGGGTCTCCAAGGCGGTTTTACCAAGTTTCCCTGCTATATTTGCCTTTGGGAGAGCAGGGACACCAAGGCGCACTACCACAGGCGGGACTGGCCACAGCGGACCGAGTTCTCTGTGGGGAGGAACAACGTCAAGTGGGAGCCACTGGTGGACCCCCGGAAGGTGCTGATGCCACCACTGCACGTCAAATTGGGCCTTATGAACCAATTTTTCAGAGCTGTAGATAAGGAGTCGGCAGCCTTCAAGTACCTTCAAGACTTCTTCCCTAAGCTGTCTGAGACAAAGGTCAAAGCTGGTGTCTTCTTTGGACCTGGAGTGCAATGAACTCCCCAAGAAGCTCACTAGTAAGGGGAAAGCGGCTTGGGACAGCTTTGTCGCGGTGGTTCGTGGCTTCCTGGAGCAATCTCAAGGTCGAAAACTGTGGAGCTGGTTGAGACTCTGGTGAAGAACTACGGCACAATGGGATGTAGGATGTCCCTCGAAGTCCATATCCTTGACGCTCATCTTGATCAATTCAAGGAGAACATGGGAGCGTACTCAGAGGAGCAAGGCGAGCGCTTCCACCAGGATATACTGGACTTTGAACGCTGCTACCAAGGACAGTATGACGAGAACATGATGCGAGACGACATTTGGGGGCTGATTCGTGAAAGTGATTTACAGTACAATCGTAAATCTCGAAATACTACTCACTTCTAAATCTTTTTTAGTCAATTTTGTATTACTTTAGTATAAATACATATTAATTTAGATTCATGTTATTTTTTTCTGACTTTATGTGAACGAAAAGACACAAATTCGCCCGTTTTCTCAATAAAAATGGGTACATTTCAAAATATCACTGTCCTGGTCACAAGTTTGTGGGGAATAATAGCGATGTTCCGTACTTTTGAGGCATAGGCAATTAGCAAATGACACTTACTACCCAGGAACAAAAATTGCGTAACATAGTGTTATTAGTCATTATAATAAAATAATCGTCATAATTATTGACATTTATTATGATTATTATAATTAATTATTAATACTCCACCTCCCCGTCTGTGACTCCCATCTCATTTACCAGCGAAACGTCGTACTCAAACTGTAAATGTGGATTAACTCTTCAACACACCGGTGGGCTGAAGTAGTGAATTATTTGTCTTTTGTCAACGTGACACCTTTTTTGCTGATTGGCCGTGTCGGGTGGTGGAGGGTTACGACACATTTATAAATAAACGCGATCTAACCCAAAAACCTTTATTATGAATAATATTGGTCGCGAAAGCCTACGTGTTAAACTGACTCCCATCTCACTCGGACGTCGACCAGGATCTTGTTGAACCCTCCCCAACTGCTCTCCCCCTCACCACCCCCTCGCTCACCCCCCCCCCACGCTCATCCACCCCCCCCCCCCCCGTCAAGGCACCATCATCCGCCGGCAGCGCATCCCGTTGCCGGGCCCCCGTAGCGAGCGCTGCTACACGGCGGAGGACCTCAACGTGGGCCACGACGTGGTCTTCTTCTCCCGCGCCTTCACGCTGGCGTCGTGCGACGCCTTCACCCGACACTTCCTGCGCCGCCTCGGCGTGCGGCCCGGCCCGGACGCGCCGGTGCCGGCCGACCCCTACACCAGCGGCCGGGACGCGGTACAAACTTGAGCCCGGGGTTGGCCGGATTTCGAGCCGTCCAATCCGGCGTGCGTGTGCGCGCGCTCGCGTCTCTGTGTGTGTGTCTGTGCGCGTGACTGTGTCTGTGTGTGCGCGTCTGTGTGTGTGCGTGCCTGTGTCTGTGTATGTGCGTCTGTGTGTGTG